AAAACAAAAAAAGAAAAAAAAATTATCATGCTTTCATATAAGATGACTGTTCATAGATTATCTTTCCTATTATTATCCTAAATAAATACAGAATAGATTAAGAAAAGCAGAATTTTAAAAATTGAAAGTTTAATTTATGATTTTTATTATTATGTATATGTCTATGGGTAGGTGTGTGTGAATACAGATGCTGGTAGGGCCAGAGGTGTCAGAGCTCTTGGGCGCTGGACACAGAGGCAGGTGTGAGCTGTCTTAAGTGGGCGCTGGGAATTAAACCCAGGTCCTCTGGAAGAACAGGACCTGAACCATCTCTTCCAGCCTGGGCACTATGTCTTAAAAAGCGTTTATTTTGTCCTAGGAGAAGAAATACCACTTGCAAGAACGGGTTGATAAAGTAAAGAAGAAAGTAAAAGATGTGGAAGAAAAATCAAAAGAATTTGTGCAGAAGGTGGAAGAAAAGAGCATTGACCTCATCCAGAAGTGGGAAGAGAAGTCCCGAGAATTCATTGGAAGTTTCCTGGAAATGTTTGGTCCAGAAGGAGCACTGGTGAGAGCCCTTCTTCCCGACACCTGAGGGAATATTGGGGGGGGGGGGGCTTTTCATTTATGTAATCTTTATTTTTGAGACAAGAGCTCACTATGTTACCTTGGTTGACTTGAAACTGGCAGTGTAGACAAGGCTGGCCAAGGACGCAGAGTGATCTGCCTGTCTCTGTCTCCCAGCTGCTAGGATTAAAGTTGTGTGCCACCACACCAGGCTTATTTACTTATTATTCTGAGGCAGTATCTCCCTAAGGTGCCCAGACTGGCCTTGAACTCTGTTTGTGGTCCAAGGCAGGCCATGAACTTGTGATACGAATACTTCAACCGCCAGTCAATGTTCAGTGGATTCAGGAATTGCACTGCTGAGGAAAGGAATATAGACTCTTTGAGGAGAAAGGAATGTCAAATTAAGACATTATCTTATCCAGTCTTACGTTTTCCTACTAATTTTGTCAGCTCTCTGTCAGCCTTGACATCTGGAGTCAAGATAACTAGGTAGCCTCAGCTGTTCCTTCTGTGTTCTGCACTAACATAGAAGAGAAATGTGAAAGAGCACAGATAAGGAGCCTCTTTTCTGTGAGGAGCTGCTGTGGGTCCCCAGTGAGACTAGCAGTGCCCTCAAACCAAACAGAGAGCTCCATTAGTGAGCCTTTGTGTTGGCCCGGCATGTGGACTGCAGTCTAGCCTCTGAAGAATGTCTCTGGTGGAGGTCAAGAAAGGCTGAGAGGCAAGCAGGTGAAGACACAGAAAAGTGGTCCTGTGTGGAGAGGGAGCCTAGGACAGACACAGTTGTGCCCTCCTGTCTCCTTTAGTCGTGCTTGGCCTTAGGGGCAGGGTGTTTCCCTCACGTGCTTGAGACCATAACTTTGACCCTCAGCAATAAAAACGAAAAGTAATTACAGGGGAGATTCACAATCATTTGCCGTTTCTGAGGCTCTGGGGGTGACCCATGGGGTCCATAGGTGTCTGCTAACTCTGCCTTTGGTCTCCCTCCCCAGAAACACATGCTGAAAGAGGGAAAAGGTCGGATGCTCCAGGCCATCAGTCCCAAGCAGAGTCCCAGCAGCAGCCCTACTCACGAACGCTCCCCCTCCCCCTCCTTCCGGTGGCCCTTCTCTGGCAAGACCTCCCCATCTTCCTCCCCAGCAAGTCTCTCTAGGCGCAAGGTTGTGACATGTGACATCAGCGAGGATGAAGATGACTAACTTTTCATCCCTGTGCCCTCTCCCTTCCCCTGCCCATCACCTCCAGAAGCTCTCTGTCGAATTCCATTTTGTGATCCCAACACTAAACCTAAGGACATCTACATAGAAAAGACAAATGGGCAAGAGGACCTGGGAATGGGGGACAAAACAGCCCGTGCCCCAGCCCTCGTCAGCCACACCGAGAAGGCTGAGCACACCGTAGAAGCCTGCCATGCATCCTTCCTCCCTCCCCAGAACTTCGCTTTGGTGTTCATGCTCATGTAATCTTGACAGGGAAATTGATATTTTTATTAATTTTTTAAAAATTAGTCTTTCAAATATAGTAAGTAGAGCTAATTTTTTGCCCCTGAGGAGTGGGCAGAAGAAGGAAGTGTGTAATACCCAGAGGCCTTTCTTCCTGATACACTAGTGCTTGCCTTCTGTTCTGGAGCAAAGTGACTCGCCAGGTCCTTCCAACAGAGAGCCATGCTGATGGGTCATGTGGCGATACTATCGCAATGTCCACTTCCCTTATATATCTAAAACCTGAATTAGCTCCCAACCCCCGCTTGTCCTGCCGGCCCATGTGTCAGCATGGCTGTGGGAAGGAAGAGATCTGAGCCTCACTTCTCTCGCTCCCTGAGGAGTTTCTTGTTGGACCCCATGGGGTCCATGCAGACACTGGTGGGGATGCAATCAAACCAGAGAGCATCAGTTGCAGTTTTTCTGCTGCGTTCATCTCAGAAAATTCTGTTACCCAACTATTTGGGAGCTCTTGTCAATCTCTTTCCTGCAACCTACATGTAAAGGAAGGAGCCCTGAGGGATGCTGGGACTGCAGAGGAGAGTGGGGTGACCGCAGCCTAGTGAAGGGCAGTTGTGGTTGAGTTTCTGTTGGGAATACATCCCTCGACCTGCAGCTGCCAGTTCCGCACCATGCCTGGCTTTATACAAAGGATGCTTTGTAAAAGTTTCAGCTTGAACTTGGCCCGTTCATCCATGTTACTTATGCCATATTTAACACTTTAAGTTTTCACAGGTCGTACAGCAAAAGCACTTTGGTCTCTAAAACACTTGTCAGGCTCTGTTCATCCTAAGAATGCTCTTGGGTTGAATCAGTGTCCCATGGAGACTCTGCCCCCTGAGAGCTGCACTTGGCAGGGACTTCCCCCACTGCTCCCTCTCAACTACTAGCACACAGAGGTCCGTGCCCCTAGCCCACCCGTGCTGGTGCCTATGCCTCCACTGCACCCGTTGGTTTCCAGGGGAAACAGCTTGAATTTCAAATCAAAGAGCGAGGATTCTCAGCACTTGCTATAGAGTATGAGCTGATGTTTTCAGTCGGCACTACATGGCCCGGCAAGTTCATCACTGTCAGTCATCCCATAGCTGGATTTAGGGCAAATTGTTTACTCTAAGACCTGCTTGTCGTTACTCATAAATACCCCTTGTAGGGGTGGAACTTTAGTGTTTTCAGCAAAGAAAACCACATTTTCTTTTTCCTTGTACCTCTGCTGGGACTGTGAGCACTTCATAGTCCTCCCTAGATACTCTCCAGTGGAAGCTGTGCTAAACCTCAGGGTCTGAGGCTAGCACCACACGATGCCTGCATGACAGGACTCCCTAGGCTCCTAAATTGTCTTCCAGGCAGGCCGAGCAGAGGAGAGGGCTGTAGAGCCACATCTTGGTGTCTCCATAGCCTGTGGGAACGCCATTCCTAACTCCTCGTGAAGTGCTGTTTCCACTCAGATCTGATTCCTATGGCCTTGGCCTGGAACCCTTTCTCGAACCTGTTGAAATTAGTGTTTTCCACGTCATGTAGCGCTGCACAGCTCCCTTTACCTTCCTACTCTGGTCTTCTCTTGGGTAATCCGTGTTTCTCTATGCCTTATTCTCCCAGGGACACACAAGCGGTGACATCAGTACCTACTCGCCTGCTTGTTCTCTCAGTGCATATCCCCAAGACGGAGAGGGTCTCAAACCTCAGAGCCTCTGGGCTGAGATGTGTACCATAGCTAGGACTAGCCTACACTCGTGTCCTCGGAGTGTCCCTCACCCTTTTCTGTCTTCTAACACTCATATCCTCAGATAACGTAGACATGAAGTAGAGACGCTGAGGTATGGCAGCATGCTAGGTACCTGAGGGTCGGTGTCCTCGTAGGTGCTAGAAAAAGGTGCTGTTGGAATGCTGAGCTGCTGGCCACCTGTACCCAGTTAAATGTGGCCAAGTGCTTGGATGTAGTGTCTGGCCAATCCGTTCCTCTTCCTGTGCAACCTCAGCTGAGGAGCCTTTCCCTGAGGCCACATCACGAAAGCAGGCAGCATGGAAGGGTGGGAGAGCCCTAAGTTGTTGGGCCTAGCAGCCTCTATGCTGTAGAGAGTGGCTGCAGACCGGAGTCTATCTGGTGCTGGGAAGAGGCCAGTATAGCAGTTAGCCTGGACGTGGGCTGGGCAGGAACATTGCTCTTTTCATATACCAGGCTGAAGACTGGAGAATAGAGGATGCCACAGAGAAAAGCAGAAATAGATCGCTAGTGCCCACAGCAGCTGCTCCTGAGAGCTAAGCCAAAGACCCTCTGTAGACCTAAGGGGACCGGGAGTGTGCAAAGGCTAAAAGTCCTGAGCAGAGAGACAGAGAGCCCTTTTCAGGTCCCCCTTCAATAGTACTGCAGTTGTTCTCACTTGTGGCCACACATCTGGCCAGTCATCTGGGAAAACCCTCCATGGTGGCTCGTCCCAGTGCTTTGTCGCTGTCCCCAGTGCGTGTTCACTCATGCAGTTCACACCCAGGAGCCTGTCGTCTATGAGATCTGTTCCTTATCTACTTCCAGTCCTTTCTCAGATCAGTTCTGTTTCCCTGCTTGGTTTGATCCCCTAAAGCCTTAGCTTCTAGATCTCTGTCAGCATACATGTGCCGAAATTGAATCCACACAGGGTTCAAAAGAAGCTTCCCTAGCGATGTTTTAAAAACTAATGGTATTTTTTTTAAGCTTACCAATATAAGTATTTTTAAAGGTTGTATTTTTCAAAGTCATAACAATGATTGTTTTCTCTCACAAAATAGATTATCATGGGATAAAGAATGGTCCCTAGCTTCTATTTTCAGAATAAATAAGTACAACGTGTTCTTGGACTCTAATATTATTAAAGGTTAATTCTCCTGAGAGAAAAAAGAAAAATAGTCTGTCTGCCAGAATGCTTTGTTGGTCCGAGATTGGGGTAGAGAACAGGAATGGCAGGATTAACATTCGGGTGGCCAAGGTCGGGTTCTGCTAGGTTTGAAGTGGGCACCTCCCACCGTCTTGGGGGAACTGTTTTAAACAGTGAGAACTGACTGCTTAGGTGGTTTGCATCTAGACTCCTGAGCAGGAAACACTGTTGGAAAGACTCACCCGTGCCATGAACACCCGCCCATCACTGTGGGAGTCAAGGGGAGTTTGCCTCCGAGTTCAATGTATCGCTTTCCTGTCTTAATTTGTTCAGAGTTATTTTGGCTTTTGTCATTTAGCCAAATAAAGGCCATGTGGTTTTGCCTGGTGTTTCTATTTCCTGTAGTTTTGGCCAGGCATATGTGTGTTGATATCTTTTTATTTTCTTTTTCTTTTTGGTTTTTCGAAACAGGACTTCTCTGTAGCTTTGGTGCCTGCCTGCCCTGGAACTAGCTCTTATAGACCAGGCTGGCCTCGAACTCAGAGAACCTCCCTAATGCTGGGATTAAAGGTGGATGCCACCACCTCCCGACTTTGGGAGGAACCTTTTACGTGCATTCTCAGTTCCTTTGAGCTTGTGTCCCGACCTCTGCCCTCAAGTTCAAGCTTCATGGCGATATGAACGACAGTTCCATTTGCAGCTTCTTATAGAAAACTTCAAAAGCTGGCACCATGAGGCCTCAGCCCTCCCATGGCCAGCTGATGCCCCCAAGGAAAGCACGGCTTGTACTGCAGAGCCGGCTTCTTCGGGAGGCTGGCCTGGTGCTGCTCTGCCCAGCTAAGGTCTGCTCCCACTGATAAACCATACATAGACCACGTACTCTTCTCCCCTTTATTCTGCTGTGCAAATGCCCAGGGTGACCAGTCGTGGCAGCCACAGAAGCACTGTGCCCTCTGCAGAGTCTCAGCCATCACCCTGTTCATTTTAAAACTTTAAATGCCTTCCCTGAGCAAAGCTTCAGTCCAGCACCTTCCCCTCATCCCTGTAGTCACATGGAATCTGCCAGCCTGCGCTGCCAGTGGGAGCCTGAACCGCTGGTTCAGGTTGAGGGACAGAAGGACTCTCATGCTCTCCTGAGGACAGTATCTTTTCCATAGTCCCAGCCACTTGCCTCAGGCTTTGAGTTTCAAGTCCGGGTCTGGTGCCGAAGAAGTCTCATACCCAACCTTGCCATCTTTCCTTCGGTAGTACATCCGTGCCAGCACCGTCATCAGGAAGGTCTCCACGACGAGCATGTGGCAGTTCATCACTGCAGTGTGGAGCGGAACGTGACAGGTTACGCTGCGGTCCTGGCGAGCAAGCTGAGAGGCTTCAGCTTACCTCTGAACCAGGACCTAGGGATACCAAACTGCTGTGCGGAGCAAGGCAGATTAATGGTATCCAGAACTCAGCTTTGACGGCTGTGATCTGAGTCTGCTTCCTAACTGTACCCATTCTTGTCCCAAGGTGAGGGCTGAACCCCATGCCCATTAGGACTGGCCTCAAGCTGGGGACATTGCAGATGTCTGATGAGAGAGGGAAGGGGCCTCAGAGTCTCTGCCTGGTTTCTTGGATTCTTCCTGTACATTCTGAGCAGACATCAGGCTTGCGCGACTTCTGTCCCAAGGGCCTCTCTCCCCTCCTCTGTCCCCAGGCTCACCCGCAACACAGGAAGGAGTCCCACACACTTACCTTGAGACCTGGTTTTAGAAGGAAAGGGAGGTGAGCAAGCAATCTGCCCGGTGCTAGCTAAGACGGAGAAAATGGAGGGCTGCAGGGCGGTCAGGATGACAAGAACCTGTGGGAGAGGAGAGGCAGGTGTGTGGGGGGGGGGTGGCACCTGCCAGCCCTGGTCCTGAGGCCAGTGCAGCTTAGGCATACCCTAGCCTCTGCAGTTATGGGGGCTAAAGTTTAGAACTATTAAAAATTGATGCATATTTCACCTTCGGGCAAATTGTAATCCTGCTTCCCCCTCATTCATTAGGGTCGCTCATAAACAAATTCAGCCCCTCTCTCTCCTGTGCCCCCAGTGGCATCCAGCACATAAAATGCAGGCAGGTGGACAAGGTCGTGTGATGATGGAGGCAGAGGTTGGAGTGAGACAGCAGAAGGTCAGGCAAGGACCACCATGGATTGCTGGCCAATTCCAGAGAGGAAGTGGCAAGCCGGGTACTTCCAGGTTCCAGAGAGATCGCGGCCCTGCCTACATTTTAATTTGGGGTTTCCAGGATCTAGATCTGTGCTACAATACGTATCTGTTGTTTTAATCCTGGTTGGTGATATTCTGTGGTACAGCAAGGCAAATAAAAGATGCAGTAGAAGAGAATGGGGATGATGTTCCAGGTCTCCCAGGAGACCCAGAGGTTACGACTAGTAGGTCCACTTCTGCCTCTGTTATCCTAACTTGTCACGTTTTGTCAAACACCGTTTCTAGGGTTTAGTTACCTGGAAGACAGCAAACTTGGATCCCATATTCTGTTCACTCAGGTGCAACTTGGCTTGCCGGAAAATGATGGCCAGCGACCAGAGAGCGAACAGCGTGGACGCGCCGAGGAAAGTGTTGATCCACAGAGCCGTGCTTTTCTCAGAGATCTGGTGGCAGATCAGAAGGCAGTCAGGAAGACAAACCCTCTTTTTGTTTCTCCTCTTCCATGTGGAGAAAGGTGATACAAAAGCCCCAGAGCCTGGACCATTTCCCCACTGGATTCTGTGGGCTGCTACTCTTCCTGTGGCCGCCCTGCTCTGTGTTGCTGGTGCTCGGATACTAGTTCTAGAACCCAAAGATAACAAGTCTTAAGACTCTTCTGCTGTCTCTTGGCTTACATCTGACGGATCAAAGATGCCATCAGGGATGAGAAACAGGCCCACTATGTTCAGCAGTATCTTGAAGAAGGCATACTGGAAAGGGCCCAACATCAGCAGCTGAAGCTTCTTCCTGAAGGAGGAAGGGAGTTAAGAACATGGACCCGTACACCACCCACCCTGAGGAAGCCTACCTCCTCCACTGAGCTCCTGGACTAAGGCTAGGCTGCCATGGAGACACAAAAATGTCTCATGGGTGACGGCACAGTAGGGGGTAGTCTGAGCCTCTGACAAAGTCTTTTGAGCAGGAGCTCCAAGTATTGACGTCAGGTTCATTACTCAGAGTAGGCAGAGGGACAAGCAAGCACTCAACCTACAGTTTTCCCTTGGCCACTAAAGTATGCATTGTAAGCTGGACATGATAGTGAACAACTTGAACCCCAGTAATTGGGAGGCAGAAGCCGGTGGATCTCTGTGAGTTCAAGGCCAGCCTGGTCTACAGAGGTCCAGGACAGCCAGGGCTACACAGAGAAACCCTGTCTCCAAAAAAAGTAAGTGAGTAAGGAAGGCAGTGAGCTGAAGCATACAAATTCTTCCTCTGGGGCTGGAGAAACAGCTCAGGGGTTAAAGGCACTGATTGTTCTTGTAGAGGACCCAGGTTCAACCACCAGCACCCACATGGAAGATCAAACTGCCATCCAGTTCCAGGGGTCCCGAAACCCAAGGCAAAACACTAATGCACACTTTTAAAATATGAATTATTCCTGTTTCCCTCTCTCTGGGGTGCTGGGAGCCCATGTTGGGGTTCCTGGCTGTGGGATGCCTGCTTTTATCATTGGCTTTGTCCCATACAGCCCCTAACTTCAAGAGCCTTGAACTAGGATTACAGAGTCACGTGTTCACTTGTCCCTGTGAGATTCGTCTCCCCTGCCTCACCTGGTAAGTATGAGGGGCGGGCAGCAAGGGCAGCAACAGCAGCAGGGACCCGTGTGCACCCTCATCGGGATGTCCTTCAGTGTCCTCAGAACTGCTTCCTTCCCACCGAAGCCTTCCACCATGACCAGCATCAGCAGGTAAAAGACTATGGCATAGAACCTGGTCGAGAGAAGCAGGATTGCAAGAGCGCCACAGTGTGCCCCTTTGCTGCTAAAGAGAGACGGGGCTCGCTGAGGGAGAAGGCAATGGGCCGGGCATTTTAGTTGGCTTTTCAAGACAGGGTTTCTCTGTGTAGGCCAGGCTGTCCTGGAACTCCATCTGTAGACCTGGCTGGCCTCTAACTCAGAGATTCACCTGCCTCTGCTCCCACATGTTGGGATTAATGGTGTGTGCCACCACTGCCCAGCTGGGGCTGGCATTTTAGAGGCATGACATGAGGAACAAGAGAGGTGACTGGGTCCAGAGGACTGGGAAGGGGACTGGAAACAAACAGGTGTCCCAGGAGTATGCCCCAAAAAGGCATTCCCTGAGCACAAGCCGAAGTTCAAGAGCCTTTCGTTAGCACAGGTTGGCAAGAGCTAGATTAATATCAATGAGGCTTAAAGGACTCTGGAGGCTTGGGGATCAGGAAAGGACCATAGAGGGGAGCTCATCCCCAGTGGTGGGTTCAGGGTCAGACACTCACGAGGTTATGACCATTTCCACAAGTGTGAGTGCGCGAGGGATCCAGAGACCAAAGCAGCAGAGCACAGACACCACCTGCTTGCAGGAGAACATGATGCAGGTTAGGGTGAGACGAGCCAGACCATCCCAACTTTTTGTAGCTAGGGTTCAAAAACGCCAGATCTGTGCGTCTGAGGTGCTAGTCCTTCCACTTGCTGGCTGCTGTGACTGGGTCAGGGTAGAGCCTGCATCGGGCCCTGGGCTCTGTACCCAGAACCAACCAAAATAGAAACAAGGACTGGCGAGATGGCTCAGCGTGTAAAGGTGTTTGTTTCCTACGAAAACCTGGCAACTTGAAGTCAATCGCCAGAACCCATGTAAAGAGTGGAACAGGAGACCTGACTGCACAAATTTGTCTTCTGATCTCCACACATGAGCTGTGGCATGCATGCTCCCCCCTCATTGTGTGTGCGTGCGCACACACACACACACACACACACACACAATAATAATAATAATAGCAACAATAATAATAAATCCATTTTAAAATAAGCAGAATTGCAGCTGGAAAATAACTGAATAAATTAAATCCAGGTCCTATGCAATGGCTGCATAGGTAAGTTTAAAAAAGACTTAGAGTTGCTGGAGCTGTGGCTCAGTGGTAGTGTGTTCAGTACACACAGCGGCAGGGCAACACTGAGTCTGACCCTCTGGAGACAAATACCTGCAGATTGGAAGGTGGCTTGCTCTTAACAGCGGTGCCATAGTGAAGGGAGAAAGAGTGGCACAGCTGGTGCCAAGTGGGTTGCTGTCTCTGCAGCCCTCTGCAAGAAGACGCCATCCCACTGGCAAACAGGTGGAAGTCAGTTCACATCCCCAGTGCGACATAGCGCTAGCAGGCAGCTCGGTTCTGGAGCAAATGAGTTTAGGAGAACTCTCAGACCAACCTGCCCCATCTCCCGGGGCCAGTGCCAGCATCTGCAGGGCCGGCGCCAGCATCTAAAAGGCCAGTGCCAGCATTTGAAGGACCAACACCAGCATCCTCACCGTTGGCGCAGAACTACTCCAGATCAGAGTCCTCCTCTTGATGGGGCAAAGGGTGTTCTTGTACAGATAAAGAGCATCCTCCAGGAAGATGGCAATTGAGCCCAGGGTAAGAAAGGTCAAGATGATGGTGAGGGCAATTTCCAATGGGCCCAGTTCTAGAGGAGAAAGGGAGTAGATGCCAATGAATTGAAGGTCAGATGCTGCTCCAGTAATGACTGCTGAAAAGAGCCCGCGCGCTCGTGTGCGTGTGTGTGCATGTGTGTGTATGTTTTAAGACAGGGTCTAGACTTGAGCTCACAGAAATTCTCCTGCCCTTGACTCTCAAGTGCTTGGGATTAAAAGTGTGTACCATCATGTCTGACCCTACAAAGGGTCTTTAACTTTTCCTCACAATTAGAAACATCTTCCCAAGCCATTTCATCCGACCTCTACGTTGTTTAAGCAGCATCTCTCATTGAACCTGGAGCACACCAATCTGACTGGACTTGCTAGGCGACGAACTCTAGGGATCCATCCATCTCTGCCTCCCTAGTGCTGGGTGTACATATGTACCTCACCATGCTTTTTATGTGAGCACTGGGGGGTCTGAACTGAGGTCCTTAATGCTTTTGTGGCATTGAGCTATCCCCCTTAGCCCCCAACATTTTTAAATTTTCCATTTCAAAGGTGAGATGGCCGTGCATAGTCTAACACTAGCAATCCGTGTGCAACGGTGGTGTGCTCACACAAGCACACCAAAGCTCAAACCCTGTCTGGTCCCTTCTTGGAAATCTCCCAGGAGCCCATTCCTGGCTCTCCCCCTGGCCTCTGAACTGGGATCTTCATACCCTGCATTCTCCAGACTCAAGGGAGTTTTTTTAAAATGAGGTAGGACAACACATATTTCACAGCAGAAAGGCGAGGGGTCTGTAGAGGAAGACTGGGTAGCAGGAGAGACAGCTAGGGTTCCACAGCCTATCGTTTCTAGGGTAACGATAATTCACAAAAACTAGTTCGCATTTTACCAAAGACTAGAAACAGGAGCTTGAAGGTTCCAAATAGAGAGACAAGGGGCTGGGGAAGTTAGCCATTCTGGTTTGATCAGAGTTCTTCGTATGCGTGTGTTGAAATACTGGCCTGTACACCATCAATGTGCACAATTATTCCACACTAATTAAAAACGCTTTCATCCCAGCTCTTCTCTGTGTTCCAGACAGGAGAGTTCATTCTTCCAGCCCTCAGGATGAGCCGGTTCTGCACCTGCCCCCAGGGCTTTCTCTTTGGCCTCTGCTTTTCTCCCTGACTTCTGCGTGTCTGGCTCCTGGGCCTGTACTAGACTTTAGCCACGTGTCCCGGCAGCCTGTGTGCTGTGGCCCGCCCAGTTGAGTGAGGTTCTTTATGTCTTTCCATACTTTCATATTACCTCCACCGCTGAGGCAGGGACCTTGTCAGGCTGTTCTCTGTTCTGTTGCCAAGTAACAGTAACTGTTCTTTAAGTATGCCCACGATTCAATTTGACACAAGCTAGAATCATCAGAGAGGAGGGAACCTCAGTAGAGAAAAAGCCTTCATAAGATGGTGGTCAACCTTTTAGGGCGTTTTCTTTTCTTCTCTTTTCTTTCTTTCTTTTCTTTTTTTTTTTTTTTTTTTTTTTTTTTTTTTTTTTTTTTTTTTTTTTTTTTTTTTTTTTTTTTTTTTTTTTTTTTTTTTTTTTTTTTTTTGATTTTTCGAGACAGGGTTTCTCTGTAGCTTTTTTGGTTCCTGTCCTGGAACTAGCTCTTCTAGACCAGGCTGGTCTCGAACTCACAGAGATCTGCCTGCTTTTGCCTCCTGAGTGCTGGAATTAAAGGCGTGAGCCACCACCGCCTGGCTTTAGGGTGTTTTCTTAATGAGTGATTGATGGGAGGAGGACCCCACCCACTGTAGTAGTGCCACCCCGAGACTGGGGGTCCTGGCTTCTATAAGAAAGCAGGGTGAGCAGGGCAGTGGTGGCACATGCCTTTAAATCCAGTACTCAAGAGGCAGAGGCAGGGGGATATCTGTGAGTTTGAGACCAGCCTAGTCTACATAGAGAGTTCTAGAACAGCCAGAACTACACAAGACCCTGTCTCAAGAAACTAATAATAATAATTACAATAAACAAATACATACAATAAATAGGTTATTCAAATGGAATCTTACAAACTCTAAATGTTTTTTTGCCCAACCGTATTTCTGTAACTTTTACTGCTTTCATCATGAGAAGCTGATGTTGCAATTAGCACCCTTGGGTGTGTCTCCTTGGTGCAGAGAAGCAAGTTTCTCTAGCATAAGCCTGGAATTAGAACTGCTGGGCTGAGCCGGGCAGTGGTGGCACGCGCCTTTAATCCCAGCACTGGGGGAGGCAGAGTCAGGCAGATCTCTGTGAGTTCGAGACCAGCCTGGTCTACAAGAGCTAGTTCGAGGACAGGCTCCAAAACCACAGAGAAACCCTGTCTCGAAAAACCAAAAAAAAAAAAAAAAAAAAACTGCTGGGCTGAGGAGAGGGAGCTCGGGCTTTGTGGTATTTGTAGGTATGATATGTTATTTGTAGGTATGATATATTATGTCGGGTGTGACTGCCGCATATCAGCTGTTTGTTTGTCTGTTGTTTGTTTTTGTTAACATGGTCCTGGGTATCAGACTCAGGTCTGCAGACTTGCACACAAGCATTTTTACCCCCTGAGCCATATATATCACTGACCCTTTCTTGAATTTTAAGAAATTATTTTGCTGTTACTAACCATAAAGACAATTTCTACTTTTTTAATTAAAAAGTTTTAATTTTACATTTATGTCCTTAATCTTCCTGAATTAAATTTCCTGTGCATTTATTTCCTTGGGAATAGACAGGAGTTCTGTACATCTACCTAGGAGCCTATCCCACAGTGTCCTTTTGTGTGTACCCCACGTCCCACTGCATCCTTTTGTGTGCACCCCTATGTCCCACAGCGTCCTTTTTTGTGCACCCCCTAGATGGCCTGGCACTGCCTCTGGACACAAAGCTTTGTTGTTTTTCTCCTCCAGGCCCTTTGCCATTGTGACCTCATTGCTTCAGCTGCTGGAAGCTTAACACAAGCCTTCATCGCTTGCAGGGAAACCTCCCTTTTTACACCTTCCCCAAACCATCCCGACTCTAGATAAACGTTAGGTCAGTTTAATTTAAAACAAAATTAAAGATTTTAACTGGAATCATATCAAAAACTAATAACTACCCTGGTCATGAAAAGCTTTAATAGTTCCAGAATAGCCCTTTCTAATCACATAAGAAGCAAAGGAGCTGGAAGCAGTTTCACAGCATCCTCCTTCCCTTCGAGTCTCCCGTGGGTCATTGCCACGCTCAGAATCACTCTCCTGTCTAAATATTTACCAGGGCTCCTGGTTCGTGTCGGCCGCATGTTGTGTTTCTTTCCTTCCTGCTGCCCCGGTTCAACCTCTGTGGCCAACTTGATGGGGTCAACAACCTCTTGGTTTTAACCCCGCTCAAGGCTCTTTCCCCCACGTCATTCTGACTACTGATTAAAGGTCCTGAAACTCTCCTTCCAGCCCCTCCCAATCTTACAGCCCTCAGTAGTGGCTCCATCTTGAGGATAAAGTACAAACTCAGGCTTGACCTTATTCCAGCCCCACCTCAACTGCCCAGCCCTTTCACTTGCCCCAAGCTCCACCACGAGTACCCACCAACCTTGCCAGAGGAACCTTCCCGGTGTGGGGAACCCACCGCTCCCTCTGTAACCGTACCGCTCTACACTCCCCAAATCCCTCCTGCCTCGGTCTCACCAGGCAGCCTACTTGACTGTGAGACCCAGAGAATCAATCTGTTTCCAAATCCTTTGCGGGGGTTTACCTGCGCATGCGCTCTGGTAGCAAGGAGGTACGAAAATTAGTGTGTTGTGTGAGGCAACGTTCCAGAGGCCAGGTACTGCTGACACTTCGACTCTGTGGGGAGCTTTCCTATGGAGGGCTGTGCTGTGGAGGGCTGTGCTGTGGAGGGTTATACTGTTGGGGGGTCATACCACAGGGAGCCGTACTATGGAGGCTCCTACCGTGGAGGACTGTACTGTACCCTGCAGGTGGTCTAGTGGCCTCCTTAATATCTACCCGTTAGCTGCCGAGGGCAGGCAACCTCCAGTGTGGTCACTCAAACCGTCTGCAGACATGCCAAATACCTTTCTGGATATTACCTTCGGGTGTAAGATGATGTTTGTCCCTCCAGCTCCACTCCCTGATTATGAGGCTCTTAGAGCTGGGTGCAGCCAGCCACCTGCTGGCACTAACCACAGAGTGCCACCAGGCGTCTCTGGACCCCTGCAGCTGATAACACCCTGGCCCAGAGCATCTGAAACAGAGTTATCCTTAGCCCAAGGACCTGGCCACATCTGCTTCCCTCTGCACCTGGCAGTGTCCCCTTGCTTTGGAGGCGTCTATGTCGGAGGAACCACCAAGAGCCTCTCATTTCAGAAATGGATTCTCATGGAGTAAGCGACGAGATAAAACTAGCCTGGCCATTTCCCTCCTAAAAGCACACGCGCCACTTTGTTCTTGGGGGTTTGGAGGTAGAAAGCGTGATCTCAGCTGCCTCCGGTGTCTTCCACTTTCAAAAGCAGCTGGACACCAGGAGGACAAGTTTGCAGGCTCACGCCAGCCGAGCCCACCCCTCTGCAGAGCTGTGAGCTCTCAGGGAGTATGCGCACACTCTGGGGGAGATGTGGGGCTTGGGTTATATAGGTGCCATCTTGAAAGCCAGAAACACAAATAAATGTCCCAGATCCTAGTGTCCCTGGTTTGAACGCATCTGAGGTGGAGGCCCAGCCTCAGATTTGTCTCCTGAACTAGATTTTCATGTCTCGTTGTGGTCCTCTGGGTCCTTGGGAGAACTGACCTTCTCCAAGGCCTTAGCCATTATGAACATCGGGCCAGCCACCCTCTCACACTGGCCAGATGTGAACCAACTCCCCTCAGCTCCCCCAGTTGTCCTGACTTTCAACTCCTCCAGGGGGCACCCCGACTCACCTCTCAGGAGCTGAGCTGCAGTGGGAGGGTAGGAGAAGCAAGCAGAGGAGATGCTGTAGTTGGTTTTCAGCAGCTCCAGAAGATCTACTGTGTACCTGGAGAGACACCAGTTCTCAGAACCAGGCATCTGGGGAAGGGGTGTGGCAGACAACACAGTTTGATACCCCTCAAACACTCCTGAGTGCTAGGAGCTAGTCCATTTTTCCTCGAGGCCCCGGAGAACTGGCTTAGGTTAGAGTATAAAACAAGCCATGGGCAGCTTCATCGGGGCGGTAGTTCAGCTGGTCAGGGAGGATCAGCTGGGTCCCAAGAGAAAGAAGGGGACCCGTAGACAGACATGGCAATGCAGGTTTGTAATCCCAGCACTGGGGAGGGAGGCTGAGGCAGGGGGAATCTTAGTTTAAGGCCAGCTTCCATTACATGATAGGACGCTATCAGAAAGAAGAAAGAAAGAAAGAAAGAAAGAGAGAAAGAAAGAAAGAAAGAAAGAAAGAAAGAAAGAAAGAAAGAGAAAGAAGGAAGGAAGGAAGGAAGGAAGGAAGGAAGGAAGGAAGGAAGGAAGGAAGGAAAGAAGGGGAGTGATCCCATAGCATCAGGGGTGGGCCGGCCTGCTTTTTGGTCAGAAGTTCTGTGTATGTGTGTCTGGGGGTGCCTTCTGCAACCTCCTCCTCTGTAATCTTTCTCTGCTCCTATAGGGAGGCAATTCACAGCCCTGAAGTGGCCACGTGCTGATCCAATCCCAGTTTTCCCGAGGCCTGAGGGGATTCCCAGTTTTCAATCTTATCTTGTTCTGAGTGCTGGAAGCCAAAGGGCCCTAAGAGGGAGCCAGGGAGGGATAGGCCAGAGTGATAGGGGCTGCCACTGTTCCTTAGCAACTGGCTCCCAGCCCAAGACCTGCCGCCCTCACTTACCTGGGGTCAAGTCTTATCTGAGTCCTGCCCAGCTCCATTCTCCTGTTCTCTCAGGCAGACTCCGAGTAAGGAGGGATAAGAAGGGCCAGCAGACTGGGACACCGAAGAGCCCGGAGGTTTCTGTCCGGCACTGTGGCGCTTACGGCCTTGTTCTGCTGGATGAGTGCAAAGGAGAAAGTGGAAGTCTCCCTTGCAGTGTCCTCAGCAAGCTTCCAGTGTGTCAGCCTTTTATCTCGAGTTCACCCCAGAGGAATTTGATCCTCTGTGCTGACCAAGTTCCCTGTCTCCTTACTCCTCCCTATAGGTTAGAATTGGCCCCTCCCACCTCTCTCAGATCTGCCCACTGCTTGTACCCAACTCACTTCATACTCCCTTAAGGAGTCTTCTAAGGCTCACTGGATCCAAGACAGAATGCTCCCTCACCCCCAGAAGAGGGGGACAAAGCCCTCACTTGGTCAGTAACTCCAGGTGAACCAGGCAGAAAGCATAGGCTCTGACTCCTTGGAGATGTCAGACTCAGGACTGAGGTCTCGCTGTGTCTGGGTTTGTGGCTTGGCATGTGGGTGGTGATGGCTGCTTGGAAAGGCCAGAGGAGGCCTGCAAGCTTTGCTGCTGCTGCTGCATCTTACACGGGGTCTTGTTATACAGAGCTGTCTGTCCTGGAGTTCGTTTGTAGACCTGGTAGACCGTGAGCTCACAGAAACCTGCCTGCCTCCTGAGTACCGGGATTAAAGGCATGCACCACCACCACCACCACCAGGCTCAGTGTTGGCCTTAAAGGTCAGTCCTGGTTGAGGTGAGGACGTCTTGGCCACACCTGGACCTGAAGAGCAGGACAAGCTGAGACTGCATCGCATCTGAGCGTCAGAGCGCACAGTCAGAGCCGAGCACATTGACGGGACTTCTTTTAAAATTTGAGGAGATGGCTTGGTCTGTAAGCACTTACTCTCCGAAGAAAGGACCCGGATTTGACCCCGGCACCCACGTAAAATGATGGACGTATTAGCATACGCTTGTAATCCTGCATCTGGGGAGGGGGTGATGGGGGGACTCCTGGGGCTTGCTGGCCAGCCAGTCTAGTTGAACTGGTAAGCTCCAGGTTCAGTGAGCTACCACATTTAAAAAAATAAGGTGGGGCTAGGCCATGGTGGCACACACCTGTAATCCCAGCGTTTGGGAGGAAGAGGCAGGTGAATCTCTGAGTTCGAGACCATCCTGGTCTACAGCTCGAGTTCCAGGACAGCCAGAACTGTCACAGGAAAACCCTGTCTCGAAAACAAACAAACCAAAAAGATGGAGCGTGATTGAGGAAGATGCTCCACGCTGACCTTGCCTCTAGAGGCTTGCACACCCACACTCACGAACGCACCCACACACCCTTCCTCTAAGTTACGTGCTTAAGAACTTTATTGGGCTGAAGAGACAGTACAGCAGCGAAGAGATGGGCTGCTCCTCCAGAGGTCCTGAGTTTAATTTCCAGCAACCGCATGGCAGCTCATGACCGTCTGTAATGGGATCTGATGCGCTCTTCCAACATGTGGAAGGAACTACATGCAGATAGAGCATTCACACACTAAAAAAATACATAAGTAAACAACTTTCTTTTCAAAAGAACAGTTTTATTGGTTTCTCCTTCCAAATAGACTTAAACTCCTTTGAGGCTGAGCATGGAGTACCGTGGACCGAGATCCCTGGCATGAAGCCTGGCATACACTGTGTGTTCCTTGGAACTGTCTGGTACCACTGACAGAATAAGAAAACCATGGTAACGGCAGCAAGTGCTTCACGGATGCCAGGCGCTATGGGAAATGGAGAACGTTCCTCATCTAAAACCTTATCACCCTCTTACAAAGTAAGGGCGGTCTCTATTCCCAGTTCACAGATATCAAAGCGCAGGGCAAGGGAGGTTAAGAAACCAGGTTAGAGTGTCACGGCATGAACAGAGGCACCTGGGATAGAGGGGGCCTCACCGTGGAGGCACAGAGCGAGATTTTCCGTAGTGTGACCAGGAAGTGGGGTTCTTAGGAGGTGTGGCAGGAGCCCCCTCCCACCCCCCATTACTTCACCTTGTCTCTTGAGTCCTGCCGTACCCTCCGCAGAAAGCATAGTTCTCAGGAAAGGGCAATAGACCGCCAGGGGTAGGCATGACACGGGCCAGTTACCTCCTGAGGTGGAGGGAAGGGTAGAAAAAGGGGGGAAGGGTGCCCATCCTGGAAGTCAACGGCCTCGACCACACCTAACAGGCACGAGCTGACTCAAGCAGCTTCCACTGGAACACGCCTCAGGCCATTCGTCTGGGAAGCCTTGAGCACCAGCTCTGAACTTTAGACTTCCCTGGAGTCAATGTCCTCAAGACTGGGGTCGGGGTATAGGAAGGAGGTGGGGGGACCTGAGGCTGGGCTAGAGACCGATAGGCCCCAGGGGAGACGGCCATTTCTCACTGGGCACAGGTGGAGGAAGGCAGCCTGATGGGTGTTCCTATCCTAGCCGAAGTCTCTAAGTGGCTGTTTCTGTACATGTGCCCATGAGATCAGACCAGCATGCCAGCTCTGCTCTTCAAGGCTAGTCCCCTCAGTTAGATCTGGGCCCATCAAATTCTTCTCCTGGGGGCCCAGACTGACAGCGAGCTAGCTGTCAGTCACACTTTCAGAACTAGTAAGAACCAGCCTTCGTGTCCCCCCCCCAGTTTAAATTAGCATATGTTAATTGCATGAAATAATGACTTCGATGTGTTATTTTATTTTTAGCTTGGAGGCCAGTTGAGGCTGCAGAATAAAATTCTATCTCTGTATTAATAAATAAACAAAATGTTAACAAAGAAAACTTGCATGCAGAACCGTGTCACGGTGGTCTGTTTAGCACTTACCTGGCAGGATGTTATCAAATTAGTCAAGGTCTATGCGACCTATCGTGTGCAGAGCCTTCTTCCCCGGCAAGGCTGAAGGAGGTCTCCTTGTCTGTGTTGCTTGCCCGCTTGTCCATTGGTGGACACCGAGTTCTCACTGCTGTGAGCAATATTGTTTTGAGAACAGTCACACAAACATCTCCAAGACTCTGCTGAGAGTTGCTTAGCTACATACTCTGCAGAGAGTTACTTAGCTACATACTCTGCAGCGGGAAAGTGGTGGTTCTATTTCTTAGGCTTTTTTGGACCCCCATACGCTTTCCTACTGCAGCCGGACCATAACGTACTCTTGTGTCTAGGATCCCTGGAGAGCGTGCGAGGTCCTCACGCTCACACGGAAGAGCACTGGAGAAGGCAGGAACGTGAAGCATGCAGTCTTGCCTCTTTGATGAAAGGGACGTGTGTACCTGTTTTTCACACAGAAGACTGGGAAAGGATGTTAATAACCTGTGCTCTTTTGTTGTATATAGAGCCAGACCTCACCTGAACCCCCAGATTCCATTGCCGACACTAGAACCCATTCTTATGGAAGGGCCCCCTCCCCTGTACTTTACAAAGGAGCCTGTTATTATGCTTAATTTAGATCCCTCCTCCCTAGACCTGTTGCAGGATATTTGATCACATCTTGAACCCCAAACCCCTTAATCCAAGAGCTTTCTGCTTCAGTACTATAAACACGATTAAATAAAGTCAACCATAGGTCAAGAGGCACAGCAAGCAACCAGTTGACAGGAAGTGAACATAGGATTCTTAAGAAAAAAAAAAACATAGAAGTAAGAGGGAGTGAGGATGGATGGATAGAGATGCACAGGAAGTAGAAGGGAGGGGCATTCAGTTTGAGGAGAGTTTTTAAGATGGCTGAGGAGAAAGGAGAGGCTACTGGGTCATTGGCTGAGGAGGAAGATCAGCTGGGTGCTTTCTCGGCCTCCCTGAGCTAGCAGGCTTTCACCCCAGCACTTGGCTCCCGAGTCTTTATTGGTGAAATCAAATGACTGAAAATTCGTTAAAAACAACGTAGACCTTTGTCCTGAGCATTGTCGGTCAATAGAACCCATACTTTATTTTGTTTTGTTTTGTTTGAGTTGAGACAGGGTTTCACTGTGTAGCCCTGGCTGTCCTGAATTCACTCTGCAGACAAGGCTGGCCTCAAACTCATAGATAGAGATCCACTGCCTGCCTCTGCCTCCTGTGTGGCCACCATGTCCAGCTGTGATTACTTCTTTTACACATGAATGTTCAGTTGTTCTAGCCCTGTTTATTGAAAAGACTACTCTTGGGCTAGAGACTTGTCTTGGTGGTTAGAAGCACTTGTTCTTACAAAGGACCTGAGTTTAATTCCTAGCCTCCCAATGGCAGGTCAAAATCATCTACAACTTTAGTTCCAGGATAAATGTGATACAGACATACATGCAAAGCAAAACGCTCATACATATAAAATAAATCTTTAAAAAAAAGTTCATGGTGAGATTTTTATTTGTTTTCTTTGGGGTGGAGTTGCTAGGGTGGGGTTTGGATGTGGAGGGATGGGGAGATGAATGAGATTGGGGTGTGTGATGTGAAATTCACAAAAAATCAATAAAAGCTTTAAAAAAAAAACAAAAAAGAAAGTTACTCTTCCCATGGAATAACTGGCAGTCTTCTTGAAAACAAATTGACCAGAAATATATGGGTTTGCTATTTCCCTCCATATTTCTGTTTTGTTTTGAGACAGGATCTCATTACAGCCAAGGTTGTCCTTGAACTCACCATGTAGCCAACATTAATTTTGAACTCTTGACCCTCCTGCTTTGGGCCCTGAAGGGCGAGGATTCCAGGTGTGAACTACCAGGCTCACTGTACTGCAAACTTGATTCCCCTGACCTGTATTGCTAGGTTATTTGGCAGGAGTACCTTGGTGGGTGGGGCCAAAGTTATGCCTCAGAGATCACACCATGCAACAGATCTCAACAAGAGATTTAGTGGGGATGTGTGAAAGACCAACTCAGAGCAGGGACGTGTGAGAGAAACAGGACAGAGAGATAGAGAAAGGCAGAGCAAGATCAAGAAAACAAGAGAGCAATATGTATTGGTTGGGGATTTGGGATGATGTAGTTGCTTGTGAGGGGTCACTTAAGGCAGGCTGGGGGAGTGCCCAAGTTCAGCATTAATGTCTATCCATGCCAGTGCCGTCCATTTGATTACTGTGGCTTTGTGGCTGGAAAGAGGGAGGGAGTTTTCCAATTTCGTTCTTTTTCAAGATTGGCTATTTGGATTCATTCTCATTTCCATATGATTTTCAGGACTATTTCTCCCTTTCTGGGGAAAAACTCTCAGTTGAAATTCTTCCTTTTCCATTTTTTTTTCAAGTGTATGTACATGTGTGTTCTTTCATG